CAAATTCGGTGTTGATTTTATTTCATTTCGGGAATAGACATCTTTGGTGGTGTGGAAGCCACCTGATGCTCGTTGGATGCTGTTCATAAAGCCTGTGATGACTCATTTCCGGTCACACGATGTGATCGCATATGTGTGATTCCAGACGGTCAGAAGTTGCCCAATCAGTGGCTCGAGATGTCTTTGCTAGCCTGGGCACGGCCTCTCAAGGACCGTGATCCCAGCAGAGGGAAAGCTTTCGGTGCCCCTGCTGACCCAAACAGCGCCGCAACCGAAAGCTGGGGGCAGGCTAGACGTCTGACCGAGATTTCCATGCGTGAAAGCTGCGGTCGAAGCATCTCCCTGCCGGTAGCTTTTCTCACGTAGGAGTGACCAGTAGACGACCACATGCTGAGGTCCCCGGGATGACCTGTGTCTCAATGATGGCCGGCAGGCTAGGCAGGCATAGTCTTAGGCTGGGTGCACAGTGCAGTGAACCCTGCACATCGGTGAGGGCGGACGACAGAGAGGGCAGCAGGGCCATTGTATTCAGCACCAAGGTGTGAGTGTAGCCCCCCCCCCCCCCATGGAGAGACTCAGCATGGCTTCCTTCGCCGACGTTCGTTTCCGATATTCCGGGGTTGCCAGTGTGGTTCTCGACGGATCGATCTTAGTAGCCACCCGTGGCTTGAGTGTTGAAGCCAGCGTGGTATGCGGCCGTCGAAGGTCTCACTCAATTTCGTGCTCGTCCTGTGCCGTTCAAATGGCACGACCCCACGTCGAGCCTCCACGTAGGTACGAATATGTCCAGGCATGGCTCGACTCCTGCAGGTCGCATATCGGCGAGAGAGTGGGGGTTCCAGGGCTACAAATAGGGACAGTGTTGAAAGTCAGCGGGGAGGATTGGCCGCAGCATGTTGGTCGTCTGCCAGCCGATGCTTGCAAAGGTGAGAGATGACAGACAACAGACGTGCCCGCGGAACGCACCGTGGTTACATTGATGCTGGTGGGGTCCGTCTTCCATGTACCAGAGGCAGGCAGCCACGCAAGCTTGCTCGTTGTTGCGAATGAGTCCCGGAGCCTGAGTCAGGAATGGGCGCCCGTTTTTCGTTTGGCATCACGTGGTGTGAAGACATCCATCCTCGCTCTTCGTTGGGACATCAAGTTCGTCATTATCCATAGGTCGACCTTCTCCATGTATGATCGTCAGAGCACGGCAAGCTGCGTGTATGGCTGTGTGAGGTGAGCGCACCTCATTGCGTGAACTCCCAACGTCCTTTCTCCCACATGCGTCTCATCAACCTGTGGGAGAACCTTCTGATCATGTCGGCAATCAATCAATGCCGGACACCAACTAGAAAGAGTGTTGAGCGACGCCGATTGGATCGACCATTTCGCAAGCTGTCGTAGACGGCACTTCTCCTCCTCGCTGGGGGCATTCAGCGCCTGATTGCCTACAACGCACTCGATCGGACACCGTGTTCTGCACAGAGTTCGTCTTGTTGCTGCTCCCAAGGTGACCAAAGCCCCTGCGCGATTCACTTTGGGGGTCGGGGGATTGGCTGCATCCTGAACGATGCGGGGCATTATCAACCCGACCCAACAAAGAAATCTGGGCGCGCCGTTTCTGCCAGCTGTTGAAGCATGGCCCAACCAGCACCTGCCCTCTGCATCTGGATACCATCCAAGTCCTACAGGGTGTGTTTGCTCCGGTGCTATGCCGTGCAAATGCGGCCATGGTCTCATGTCTCATGTCTCATGTGAACTTTGCTTGCACGACGGCCCTGTTGAGCTGGACAAATGCTCACCTCGGAGCCTGCCCATCGCCTCTCTTGCGAGAAAACACGAGAGGATGGAGGTTCCTTCACTGTGCAGACTGGAAGGCTCGTCCAACCCACCGTGTTCCCCCAACATGCCTAAGTTGGTACCTAGTTGTCTCCTCGCTCTTTGCGTGAGTGCCTTGCATGAGGCTTTCCTTAGGTGAGCAATTTGACAGGTTGGCAGGACGGGGACGGACGAATAGCCGATCTTTGCTGCCTTGTGTGACAGGAGCCATGGGTCGATGCAGGACGGATGAAGAAGGCTCAACCGAGCCCGGGGATCGCTGGCCGTCATCCGCGCCGCGATTCTTCTGCAGTCGAAACAACCAAATACGTGCAGTCGGCCTGGCCGCGAGAGAAGAAAAGAAAGGAACATGCTTGATTCATCAGCTCCGCCCACATCGAAAGACTTTCTACCCATTCCCACACTCCTCAATCGAGCGCGTGGCAAGCTGTCTCATCCGCCAGCTTCAGCACCGGCCACACTCCTCCCACTCCCCCCCCCCTCGCTCTTTTGGCTTCCCGATTGACTTGACTGACGGCGAGGGTCGAAGAAGCAGCGACTGAACCACCATGGAACTGAACCCTGAAACCATCGATACGGTCATTCACCCTACGGCAGTGTTAAAGAGAACCACAGTCCCGCCATCTCAGCCTAGGTTGAAGGCTCTCTTGCCGGTCCCCGCAGACATCGCCTGGGATCTCTCTCAGTTGAACCCCAAGAACCGTATCGATAGTCTCGCGCCTCTAGTCACCCCCTACTGGAGGATCGATGGCTGCACATCATGGGGTTCACAATACTATGCCACGCCTCTTTTCATGGCGTCTGTGCCCCCCATGAGAATTGACGTCTTCGTTCCCGACCTGTCCCTTCAGACACGTCTCGTCCGAGACCTACTTGAGCTGGACCAGGCATTCCACACGAAAGATCGAGTCAGAGTTTCTCGACTTTCGGTATCGATGCACATACTCCGACGACTACAGATCTGGACCATGACCATCGGCGGAGCCGATCAGGAGTTCATCAACGGTGACGGACCAAGGCGTCGTCGTACTCACTCCGAACGATTCGAGTATGCAGAAAAGTACCTGTGCCATCTCCCGTTTGGTTCCCGCATCGTTTTCGATTCTCTCTCTCTGGACATCAATCAGATTAACATTACAGTCGTCCCAACCTTTGCTCTGGAAGTTTACCATTTCTCTGTGCGGCAATTCGAGGCTGCCTGGGGACATGATGTTACACTCCCGCCTTGTGTCAACATAACGCAGGTGCAGCTTGTTGAGCAAATACACGACAGCACATCTATCGTGCGAATCGACGGCCAGTCTTATATCTTCAAGGCTCTGACAAGCTTTCCAAAGTACCTGTACCACGAGTTACGAATCCTACTCACCACCAAACCGCACCCAAACATCATGTCTCGTCCTGTCCACCTGGTCACAAAACGGACGAGATTCGGAGGAAAGAACGCTGTGCTTGGCTTTACGTTGGAGCTGCATCGGCACGGTACATTGCGTGACATTGTGCCGTTTCTCAGTTCCAGTAACGCCCTGAGGACCGAAGAACAGTTCAAATGGGCATATCAAATCACTTCAGCTGTGCTTTCATTTCAGAGAAACCTCGGGCACATTTCTATCCCGACCTTCGACTGGACAACATAGTGCTGTCTGAATCCAGAGATGCCATCATGGTCGACTTTTGAGCAGCGCGGTGTTTGTGTGTGAGTTTGCATCGCCCAGAAGTCAATGCCATCGAGTACATGCGGGATTCTTTGCCACAGCCGA